ATTTCTCCCCCCCCCCGCTCCACCTACACTCCTTTCCGTCCGCTGCCTACGCTCGCGGCCTTTTTACCCTCCGCGCGCGCAGTCCGGTTCTCATGCATTGTGAACGCAATAACGGTCGGATTATAAACGGCGGAAATGATTCTTTAACGGCCGCTGTAGATCTGAACGCGCGCGTTTCATGTTGACAAGTGGTGAGCCGAATGCATCGCGTTTCCTTCAATCTTGCCGAGTGACGTTAAATAATGACTGGCCATTTGCATCTCCAACAACCCAATAACGGGGGAGTAAAAGGTGTAGCTAGCACAACTGGATACACGCCAACAGTATATCCGTCTCTTGTTAGCAGATAAAATTAGGAGGGGCTTTTAATCGAAACATAGTTGAGATCACGATTCGTCCCTCCTTCGTTCATTGACTCACAAACGCTCTTTACATCTATACCTTCTCTCCTTTTTCTAATTCACTTTATTATGATACAATGTTTTGAAGATAAAACTGTTTTTCACGTATAACACATAATATTTACAAAATTTACTAAGTTTGCAGATGTTTGCCTCCAACCATGTGATAAGTATCAATGGTTTTTTACATACTCAGAAACTCGAAGAAGATACAAAACAATGAAAGTTCATTTTTAAAATGTAAATATTTGATGATTTTAATCTGCCTTTTCTCACACTGCACATAACTACTAAATTCTCATAGTTCGTAACTGCTTACGACGTTTTTGACAGCACGTTTCTACGGAGGAGACCACACCATAAAATATTTGCTATGTACGTTGTTACATTACAAAAGAGCAACTTTTTTACTTCGTCCTCTTACTTTGTAAGAAGAGAAAGTAATTGTTCGCTGAAATTCAGCAATTTTTCAACAGAAAATGGAAACGGACTAGTAACTAAAATCTGGATAAATATTGTTTCTATATGTGGTAAATTATATGGTAAATATGGTGTGGTGTCTGTCTGTCGGTATGTCTGACTGTCCGAAGTGTCTCAATGTGAAATTATTGTGACACAACAGAATTTTCATAGTTGTTTGTTCATTCACACATTTCCCCTCCCCCCTTAAAATTTAATTCCCTACCTTTTTTGTGAATCAGCGTTTCCACGGGGCCAAGCTTCTTCTTTACAAATGCATCCCAGTTTTTCCGTCCTCCCACCCCAAAAAAATCTTCACTGGCGCTTCCTGTCTTCCTCGCCCTTCCTCCGCGCAACGCTGCCGGCTATTTAATTCGACTCTCCCGGCTCCACCCCCGCAGCCCGGAGGAGAAGTAGTCTCGCCGAAGTAAACTTGAGAACCGCACCAATGCTGCTCAGCCTCTCTCCCGCACGCCCGCAGCCCCGCCCCCCTCCTCGTTCCCGGCAGCGCCTCGGAGCCTCTTAAGGGTGACGTACAAGCGCCGCGAAATCTGGAGCGCCGACGCGACGGAGGCCTTTCTGATGCCACGCGCACCGACAACGCGGCGCGACGCGAAACGAGACGGCGCGGGGCCAAGAGCAAGTGGGCATCAGCGCCCAGGATATTGCGGACGGGCAAGGAGTGCGAGGACAGTGGAAAACAATGGATGGGATTGATGAATATTGACACCTAATTGTTATGATGAACCATCTTAATGCAACTTCGATGTCGATATATTTTTTGCAATTAATGTAAACTACTCTTGGCAGCAAATTTTAACTTTTTTCGTGTGGGTTCCTGTTATCTTTGGCAACGAAAGTTGCAAAATGATGCCACTGTAACGTCGTCAGATGGCAGTCAAGCTTCCGAACGTGCTAGCGGTCGCTGGAATGCTGGTGGTCACATGTGAACGAATGACGGCGCAAAAAACAGGGTCAGTGGAGGGAAGTAGTTGGCCGGGCGGTCACCCTCACCTCTCAGGGGGGTTGTGGGCTATCACGTGACCACCAAAAATAAGTGAGCAGAGATGCCAGCATGCAGAAGGACTTCGTTTTCAGATTGCCTCGCGTGCGGTCGCAACTGCTCACCCGGAAGGCGGACGTGTGCTCCTTGTGACACCGCGAATGCGTTGCGCTGGGTGACCGGGTGCCGGCGCGGTGAAGTGTCAGGGTGGAGGATGCACTATCGGGGATTGGGGATTAGTGTGAATGGGAGTAACGGAGGTGAGTAACATACATAGCTGTACTTAACTGTAAGAGCTGTTCGT